GGCATGGCCACCCACGTGTGGCTCAGGGTCTGTCCCTCTCTGCGGGTTTCAGCATTAATCCTGTCCATCTGGTTGTGTTTCACCCTCTTGGGAAGGTGGGTGCTGAGTCCCTCCTTTCTTTGCCTCTTTTCCTTTCCCCCAAGAACACAGCAGTGCCCTTTGCAGGCAGGAGGTGTTGGTATGGGGCTGCTTGTCACTCTTCATCCCTGTTTGTCTCGACTTTTCCTCAGATCAACAACAAAGCCTGCGGCAAAATTCCTGTGCCCCAACAAGTCGCCCAGGACCAGGACAAAGTGCATGAACTTGTTCTCCAAAGTGAGCTGGGTGTCAGGCTCTTGCAAGGGCGGAGCATCAAGAAGGCCTTCCTGTCCCCCAGAACTGCCCTCATCAACTTCCTGGTACAAGAGTGACAGCAGAAGGCCTGTAGCCACCACAAAGGGCTCTGAGGAACCTGCTTCCAGGCCTGGGATGAGGGGAAGGGAAAAGACAAATGTCTTGAATGTTTCCCTTGGATTTATGACAGTCTGCAGTCAACAGGGTGCCTCTGTGGGGTGGCCGGGTGCAGGGTGAGGGCAGATAGGAGCTGTGAGGGAGGGCTCGTGCAGCCTGTCCCTCACCTCCTAGCTCCTTTGCAGGCTGGAAAGCCACCAGAGGTACTACTAGGTAGGAGCTGGAAGGAGAAGAGCACAGTGGCTCCCACACAGTCTAGGGGCTCCTAAGTCCTGGAATTGGCACTACCTGTGTGCTCCTGGGACAGTGTGGCCATCACTTTAAATTGGTAACCAAGCCTCTGGATCCTGGCAGATAGTCTCTTTGCCTTCAGGCTAGAGGAAGAAGCCATCTAGGCCATGTTCAGACATCAGTATGTGGAAGTAGACACTGGAATCTTCTGAAGCTACTCTGAACCAAAAGCAGAGAGTGCTGGTCTCGCTTCATGTCTCCCCATGTCCTCGGCTCTGTTATTTAGGCCAACCCCAGCTGGATGTACCTACCAGGCCTGTTCTGGATTGACACACAGGCCCTCAGCAACTCTAAGAGGAGCAGCGTGTCGTAACCACTCCCTTGGGCGTGAAATTTGCTGTGCTGTGGAGTAACATGGAACCAGGCTTCAGGCTGCTGGGTCCCGGTCTCGGAGCTCCACAGCAGCCCAGGAGGGATGCAGCAGGCCCCAGAGGGCTTACATGGGCCCCAGATGGCAATGTTGCCACAGTTGACAAAGCTCCCACAGCCAGTCATTAGGAAGAGCAAGTTTACCACAGAGGGATGGAACTGGTCCCCCAGGCACCGCCTCCTGTGTCCAAGCCACAGCAGTCTGGCTGCTGGGGAGATGGCCACGAATGGCAACCTCACGCCAGTGAGTTAGGCTCATCCTGGCTCATTTGTATGCGAAGTCAGCAGTTAGGTGCTCATACCAGAACTGGCCTAAGCCATTGGGTAGTATTTAATGGGGGAAAGGTGGGGGAATAATCCAGCCATTTTGTACTGCTAGAGATCTATGTTTGTTTTCTGATGCCATTTTTCTGTAATACCCTTAGTTATGGTCCCCCTGCAGTTCAAGCAGTTAATAGATGGCTTTTTTTAGTGTAATAAAATGTTTATCATCTTTGACTTTGGGATGTATGTGTGATCTTGGAATAGGCACCATATCCCAATTCTAGGAGTTAATGAGGAACAGAGTGAGGTATTCTGTCATCATCAGAAACATTGGCTACGTGCCCAGGCCCATGTGGGATGTTACAAGTGAGATGCACATGGTCCTTCTTGCTCTGGAACTCATAGTCCATGGTAGGCCACACTGATAAAGGCACCTTAGCATCAGCGATGAAGTCACTGGTTCTTAAATTTAATGCTATGCCTGGTCTCCATGGCAAGAAATTCCAATTTCATTGGTTTGGGGTGTGGCTTGGCCATCGGGAATCTTAAAAACTCCAAAGATGTGAGAACCAGTGGATAAATTAATGCATGTGAACAATGATTTCAGTCTGGATCTTTCTCTCCTTAACCTTCAGCTTGAATGGGAGGAGTTTGGTCTAAGACCTGACCAAGACTAGAAGAGAAGGCAGGGGCAGAGCTCTACAGCAGGTGTTTGAGATGTTCCTAGAGCGGTCATGTGGACATGGACTCAACTCTGTCATGTGTGATAGCAAACATGCATTAAATACAAGCAAATGTAGATATTTGGTATAACCGGGGAAGAGTGAATATTTCTCCTTGATTGTCTTGTTTTTCCCTTGGGTGAGCTAAGTGCTCTTGACCAGGATGAGAGTAGGAATCTCTTTATTTGCACATTATCTGTCCAGAGCAATGGGCCAATAACTCTGGCAGAGTTCTTTAGAGAACTTCCTCCAAAGCTTTGAAAACAAGAGCTCACTGGTACTGGTACTTACTAAGATATAGTATGTAGGGGCGGCACTTGTGGCTCAAAGGAGTAGGGCACCAGCCCCATATGCCAGAGGTGGTGGGTTCAAACC